GGAATTGCTGGGTCAAATGGTATCTCTATTTGCAACTTTTTGAGAAAGCGCCATACTGCTTTCCACAGGGGTTGCACCATTTTACACTACCACCAACAGTGAATCAGGGTTCCAGTTTCTCCACAACCTCGCCAGCATTTGTTGCTTCCTGTCAGTTCTGGCCTTTATGGTTTAGACGTAGCAGGTTTTGAGTTGTAGAGATAGCCTCTTATTTTTTTCTCTTCTGTTAGTTTTGTAGATTTACTTCACTTTTTTCCCTTTTCTCAAAAATTCATGACTTGAGTTGGAACTGACCCACAGTTGGCCCATATTGGGTTTTCAGAGGCTATAAACCATAAGGGAGGAGATTGCCCAACCTTCTCTCTCAGAGTGGCTGATGAATTTGATTGCTGGCCTTTGGCAGCACAACTCCTTTCCTCAGACCACCAGAGGTTTTTTCTTTGTTCCCCCCTCCCCGTATGTTGCTTAAAAAATCTTTTAAATTGAGATTTTAATGAAAGTTCATAGAGAACTTGGATTCCCATTCATTAATTGTTGCACATTTTCCTCTCTGCCCATTGCTCTCCCCAGTTTGCTTTTCTCTTTGGAAAAAAAATTTCTTTCATTGTTATACAATCCCCCCCTGCGTCCCTCCTCCCCCCAGTCCACTTTACTATGCAGCTCTTATTCTGGACTCTTGTCATGCAAATATTACCTATCATATATAATGCAGTGTCTCCTTTTTTCTTGTCATGCAAATATTACCTATCATATATAATGTAGTGTCTCCTTTTTTCTTAGTTACCCCCCCTCCCAGCCCCCATGTCAGTTCTATTTTATAACAGTGACATTATGCAGTATTGGTCCTTTTGTGACTGAGATATTTCACTCAGCATAATGTCCTCCAGGGTCACACATTTTGTATAATAATTTATGAGTTCCTTGTTTTTCAATGCTGCATAGTGTTCCATTGTGTGACTATACCACAGCTTCTCTATCCACTCATTTGTTGATGGGCCCTTGGTTTTTTCCAACACTTTGCTATTGGAAACAAAGCAGCAATAATCATGAGTGAGCATATAACTGCTTGGATGGCAATTCTGGTTTCTTTAGGGTATATTCCCAGTAGTGGAATTGCTGGGTCAAATGGTATTTCTGTTTCCAACTTTTTGAGAAAGTGCCATACTGCCTTTCCACCAACAGTGAATAAGGGTTCCAGTTTCTCCACAACCTCACCAGCATTTGTTGTTTGCCGTTCTGTTAAGTTTTGCTATTCTTACTGAGGTGAGATGATATCTCATAGTTGTTTTGATTTGCATCTCAGAGCGAGGGATTTTGAGCATTTCTTTATGTGTTTGTTTGCTATCTGAATGTCTTCTTTAGTGAAGTGTCTGTTCATATCCTGTATCCATTTTTCAACTGGGTTATTTACCTTTATGTTGTTGTGGTGCTGAGCTTTTTTTATGAGTTGGTTATTTTTCTTAGTCAACTGGAATTTATTTTTAGTTTGCATATATAATGAGTTGGGACTCTGGTAATGTAGTTCGTTAAATGTTAAGCTGACTCAAAGGTCAGTGATTCAAATCTACCTGTTGAAATCTTTCTGAGGGATAAAGATGAGAAGCCTCCTTCTATGAAGATTTACAGCCTCAGAGACCCAACGCAAGGTTGCTATGAGCCACCAGTGGGTAAACGTAATGTTGTTGCTGTGGACTGACACTCTAGTGAGTTTTCAGATCACACAGGAGGAGATTGTCCATCTGTCTTCCACAGAGCAGTCGCTAGCCTTTGGGATTGTAGTGCAGCTTCTTACTGCTTAATGAATAAGATTCAAATTGGATTTTTTTTTCTCCCCATATAATGAGAAACTGTATTATGTAATCCACTGATTTTTGACACTTGTATCATTATGTCAAGCTCCTGGTTCTACCTGGTTCAATTTTTGGCCTCTTCTTTTTGGATTGCTATTCTGAACCACTATGCTGTATTATATAATAATGATGTAATTTTTTACTGTTTATAGCTGAAGTACTGAAATATGAAATATGTCATATTTAAAAGTGAAATTAAAGACAATTAAAAATGTTCCTTGTAAAAACAGCACTCTCACTTGCATTCTGACATACTTTAAGTGAGGTAAACAGAGCTGTGGTTGGTCAATCGGAAGGTAGTGCTGTGAATGGGAAATTAGTTCAGCAGGCTGATCTCAGTGACCCCTGAAAACTGGGCCTGGCGTTCCTAACTAAGTAGCCTTTGGCAAGTTACTGCTCTCTACATCTCAATTTCTTCATCTGCGTAATGGAAATAACAAACTGTTCTGACAAATTTGTGGAGTAATTTTTGAAGGTCAAGTTAGATAACATCTGTGAAAGTTCCTTGTAAGCTAAAAATACATGAATATATCACTGATCATCTTCATCCCTTTTCCAGGATAGGCGATACCTGGGTTAAGAATATCTGATTAACAGATACCACCTTCCTATCTTTTAATGCAATAGAACTTTACTCTCCCATTGAAATGATTGACCTAAACTCTATTTGCAACAAATTCTTCATCCCAATTTCCTTCCTTTGTTGCACATGCAGTTTTAAAATAATCTGGTTGCCTAGTTAAAAGGGAATTATGCTGCTAGCCCAAAGGTGGTGCATCTCTGCCAGTTCAAGTTCACCAGTGACTCTACGGGAGAAAGATGGGCCATTTCCTCCCATCAGATTTACAGACTTTGAAAACCTGCTAGAGAGGCAACTATGAATTAGTTCCGATTCAATGGCAATGAATTTGAATTTTGAAAGTCAGGTTAAATAAAAAAATCCATAAGTACCAGTTTTCATTTACAAATTCCACTTAAAATGTAAACACAGGATTAAGAATGGCTTTGTACAGAGGTTGAGATTGCCTGTACTAACATTCTTTCCTCTAGTAACCCATCATGGATTTGAGTTTTATCATAAACTTTTATAAAACGCAAGGGGGAGAGGCAGCTTCAAATAAGCTATTCTTTTCCTAACCAGTTAGATTTCCATGGGTATATTTCTTTTTTAAAAATAATTGTTGTTATACATGCAGTTTAGTTAAGTACGACTCAGGGTGACACTAAGGACAACAGGTCTGAGCCTTGCTCTGTCCTGTGTCATCCCCATGACCTCTAATTTGCTCGAGCCCATTGTTCCAGTCTCTATGTCAATCCACCTTGTTGTGGGTCTTCCTCTCTTTCTCTAACCCACTGCTTTACCCTGCATGCTGTGTTTTCCCCAGGATTGGCCCTGGCTGACAACATGTAAAAAATATGTGAGATTGAGCTTCCCCTCTGTGCTTTTAAAGGGCACCCTGGTTGTCCTTCCTCCAAGATACACTTACTTGCTCCTTTGGTATTTCACAGGATATTCTGTGTTCTTCTCCAACCCCACAATCCAAAGACATCAATTCTTCCTTGGTCTTTCTTGTTCATTGCCCAACTTTTGGATCCATAGGAAGCAACTGAAAATACTACACCAGCTTGCATCTGGTGCACCTTAGTCTTTATACCAGTAACTTGCTGTTATATGCTGTGGAGTTGGAACCAACTCATAGCTGACCCTCCAGTGGGTTTTCAGAAGCTATAAATTACATGGGAGGAGATTGCCCAGCTTCCTCCCTTGGAGCAGCTGGTGGATTGGAACCATGTGCCTTTGGATTGGCAGCATAATTTATTACCACCAGAGCTCCTAAACTGACATCTTAGTCTTTTTAAAAAAGTTGTTGTTGTTTGCTGTTATGTGTCATAGAGTTGCCTTCGACTCACAGCGACCCTATGTACAAGAGCCCTAAATTCTGTTCTATCCCCTGCCAATCTTATTGTCTCTGACACACCTATCCCTTTTACCCCAGTGACTGAATCAATCCATCTCATAGAGGGTCTTCTCCTGCACTGTCCCCCCACTCTCCCAAGCATGATGTCCCTCTTCAAGGACTGGTTATTCCTTGCAACATGTCCAAAGAATGTCAGAAGAAGCTTCAGAATCCTTGCCTCCAAGGAGCAGCCTGGCTTCACCCTCTCCAGGACAAACTTGTTTATTCTCTTAGCAGTCTATGGTATAGTCAATCCTTGTTTCCAGGACCACAGCGCAAAGGCATCAACTCTCCTTCTGTCATCCCTAGTTATTGTCCAGCTCTCTGATACATAGCAAATAATTGTAAAGACCATGGCCTATATCAGGAGCTCCTTAGTCTCCAGACTGACATCATTGCTCTTCAGTACTTTGGAGAGGTCTCTGACAGCACACGTTCCCTGTGCAATTTGTCTTTTAATTTTCTGGCGGCTAGTACCAAGAGTGTTGATGGTAGAGCCAAGCAAATTGAAGCTGTCAGCAATCTTAATATTTTTACCATCTATCATGATGTTGCCAATCGGCCCAGGGGTGAGAATCTTTGTTTTCTTGATGTTGTGCTTCAATCCATATTGAAGGCTGTAGTCCTTGACCTTTTTCAGCAAGTGCTTCAGGTCCTCCTCGGTTTTAGCAAGCAGGGTTGTGTCATCTGTATAACGCAGATTGTTGATAAGTCTACCTTGAATCCCAATTCCACACTTTGCCTCATAGAGCCCAGCCTCCCAGATAATCTGTTCTGCATATAGATTGAAAAGATATGGAGATAGGACACATTCCTGCCATGCACCCTTCCCAATTTTGAACCACGCAGTGTTTCCTTGCTCTGTTCTGACGACTGCCTCCTGGTCCAAGTATGGATTTCACATAAGCATAATCAAGTGTTCCAGGATTCCCGTTCTTTTCAGAGTCAGCCACAGTTTGTTGTGATCAATACAGTCAAATGCCTTGCATAATCAATGAAGCACAGATAAACATGCCTCTGGTACTCTCTGCTTTCAGCCAAGATCCATCTAACATTAGCTATAATATCCCTAGTGTCATGGCCTCTTCTATATCCAGCCTGCACTTCTGGCAGTTCTCTGTTGATATGCTGTTCCAGTCGTTTTTGTATAATCTTCAGCAGAATCTTGCTTGCATATGATATCAACGATACTGTTTGATAATTTCCACACTCTGTCTTATCATCTTTCTTTGGAATGGGAACAAATATAGCTCTCTTCCAGTCAGTTGGCCAGGTGGTTGTACTTCAGATTTCTTGGCACAATTAGTGAGCACATCCAGGGCAGCGTCTGTTTGTTGAAATATGTCGATCGATATGCCATCAATTCCTGGGGCTTTGGTTTTTTCCAATTTTCCCAGAGCAGCTTGAACTTCTTCCTTTATCACCACAGGCTCTTGCTCATATATTGTTTCATGAAATTCTTCTGTGTCCACCGATTCCTTGGTACAATGACTCAGTATACTGTTTCCATCTTCTTTCAATGCTTTCTTGATCATTTAATATTCTGCCCAGAGCATCCTTAAGTATTGCAACTCGAGGTTTGAATTTGTTCTTCAATTACTTCAGCTTAAGAAGTGCTGATTTGCTGTCACTAGAAACCAAGTAGAGTTCCCAAAGCCTGTACCCTTTGCAAGCCTCTTCCCTCCTCTCCTTCCTCACAGCGCTGCAAACTGGAGGCCGCAGTTGCTGATGCAGAGCAGCAGGGTGAGGCAGCCCTCAACGATGCCCGCTGCAAGCTGGCTGGGCTGGAGGAGGCCCTGCAGAAGGCCAAGCAGGACATGGCCTGCCTGCTCAAGGAGTACCAGGAGGTGATGAACTCCAAGCTGGGCCTAGACATCGAGATCGCCACCTACAGGCGCCTGCTGGAGGGCGAGGAGCACAGGTGAGGATGAAGTTCCGGGGGTCACTTCTCACTGACCGTGGTCTTCCTGGATCTCAGCTTGACATCTCCAGGAGACACAAATGGTTAACCACTGTGATTCAAAGACGCTCTACTACTTGCCTGCTGCATGACTTTTTATGTCTCAGTGTTAAAGCAGTTTAAGCCCAGAAGTTCTTTAAAAAAATTTTTAATTTATTAATCTGGAATTATTCCACCTGAAAATACCTTGCCCCCCCCCATCTTCCTATAATTTGATTTCAGGCTTTTGGAAAAGAGGACACAACTGGCTCTGATGTTTACAAAGCACCTATGAAACCCTGCATGCACCCAGTTCATAATCCTCATAATTTATCAACAAACAAAAAAAAGGGCTTACTTGAAAAAAAAAACAAAAACAAACCCACCAACAAACAGAGTGATTGTTAGTACCCATCTCTTAAGTTTGTTGTAACAATTAAATGGATTAATAGAACACAGCACCATGTTGGAGCAGGTGATTATTATAATGAAACTATATCCATGGAGAGGCTATCACCCCAATTAGCATTAGGAATCTGGCTGAAGTGGCATGAAGGTAGTAGGGCCATGCTGGAGTTGTGTTGTGCTTTGGGGCTTGGAGATGCTGGATTTTAGAGCTTTGGGGGAAGCTACGAGAGCTATCTCTTCTTACGGATCCTCAGCTGCCCTTCCCACACACCCGCATTCCCTGAGGCACTTGGCATTTGTGCTATGATTTTTTTTTACTATAATAATGATATTTAATGTATTTGTGACACAATCATAAAAAATTGGTCCATTGTCCTTAACACAAGGGATTTTAAAATGTTACCGAATTTTACAGGATTTTGTGTATTATGTCCATGGATCTTTCCATGGACTTTTTATTCTTCATGTTTAAAAGATTTAGTTCAATTACATAAGCCTCAGAAAATAGGAAAACAAAAGCCGCTATAGCCACTCAGTTTGGAGATGGCCTCGGCCATCATTGGAGCTCATCAGGCACCAGAAAGGCACAGTTCTGAGGCTGTGGCAAAGTCAGATTCATGTGGCAGGAAACTGGACCAAATTAATGTTTTGGTTTTTTTCCAATTAACCACAAACATGTATTTATAAAGCATGACTGTATTCTGATTTGCACTTGATTATCCAGTCGTTGACAAGATTATAGTCAAATTAATGTGTCTTATTTAAAGGGTGGGAATTAGAGGAATATTCTGGGCCAGCAGAGTGGACCAGAGCAGAGTTTTCTGAAGGAAAAGGATCAAAGTTAGAGTTTAGAGAAGGGGTAGCGTTTAGAGACAGGTAGAGAATAGAAGGTGAGGGAAGTGTAAGGGAGAAGGGAATATGCTTAAAAAGCCCACTTTAGTCATATCCATGTCTCATCATTAACGAGATTTTTGTAATATGAACAGCAAACACTTACATAGGACTTACTTACTATGCACCAATATCTATTTTAGGTGCTTTACACATAGAACTCAATGGAACCTTTCAACAAGCTTATGCAGCAGGTATTATCATCTGCATTTTATGAGGGAACAGAGCCACAATGATATTTGACCCCAGGATGTTTGAGTCCAGAGTCCAGACTCTTCAATGTCATACCTTCCAGCCTCCCTTTTGTGTTTAATAAAATCAAGTAGATGTCTGAGGCAGCATTTAAAACCACAAGATCAAAAACTGAATCAATGTACAAGATTCAAACCAAAAGATTCACTGTTTTCAGGTAAACTCAGTGTATGTGATGACCATACATCACCTCACCTGTTGACGTCCTGCTGGGCAGTAGTTACTCTAATCACCTGCTCTTTGGTTTTTCTGCAACTTCTAAAGAAGCAATAAAGCAGATGATAGATACCCTTACCTCTACTTTCCATTCCATTAAGTCTCCATAATTGAAAAGCAAATGAGGCATAAAGTCAAGTAATAATTCACCCTTTGGGGATCCAGTGAGCATGGCCAACACTGATGCTATTTGCAGCCAGTGGGCAGCATGCCATCTGCCCCTTCTTCAAGATGAGGGGAGTAGTCTTTTCCTCAGAAGCAAAAGAACTTAGCTCTAATTTTCCACTCTCTCTTTTCTCTTGCAGATTATGTGAAGGCGTGGGCTCTGTCAATATCTGTAAGTTGGCATGACTCTTTGAGTTGTCAATAGTCTTTATATCAGGATGTACCAGACAGATGGTTGAGACTCTGTCTATGGGCCGCTGGGTAGGGGAGACTGAAGCTGTAGGTTTCTGGGATCTGGACAGATGGATAGCTCCTAAATACTTGCCCCTTACTTAGATCTACCTGGGACATACAGAAAGCCTAAAGTAATGAGCATGAAAATTTCTGACCCCTTAACTGATTCTTCAAAGTAGTCTGAGGTTAGTTACATGTAGAATACTGCTCTAATTGTACCAGGTTTTAATAAGAATTTACTATCTGGTTATTTGGGGTTATTGCAGATAACTCTCAATTCCATATCTCATTATATGCAAAGCCCCCAGGCTAAGGGTCTGTTTCTGATCCACCTCTTACCCTCAGTTTTCCAAACACCATGTTTTCTAGATAATGTCTCTACTGTGACCCATCAGTTTTTGTGCAAAGAGTACAAAATGCATCTCAACAGTAATCTAGGCCAAGTTAAAATAAGGTATTGGCTTCCTAACCATGTTTCTCAAGAAGCAGATGGGCATGGATTTAGTTTTAGCTGAGATTGAAAAGGTTCATGTTCTGCTGCTTCTGAATGTAGAGAGAATTGGTCAATACTTCTGAGTCACAGCGTCTCTAGATAGGGTAACTTCTCATCTACTCTCTGTCCACAGGTGTGAGCCGTTCCCAGGGTGGCGTGGTTTGTGGGGACCTCAATTCCACAGTCTCACGTGGCTCAGGAAGCGTGGCCATCAGCAGCAGCAGTCTCTCCTCTCCTTCTGTACTGGGGGGCTACCCCAGTGCAAGATTGGTACGGTTTGCATAGAAGGTGGGCGGAAGTCTGGAAAGATCAGATCTGATGAGGTAGGAAGGAAAATGACTTCTCTCTCAGATTCAAATATCTGTTTAGGAATTTCCTCTACAGGGAATTAGGATTAACTTGCTAGTGCCCTTCTCACTGGAGTTATTAATTACTCTCTGCTTGGGAATCCTGGGTTTGGCATCACTGCCACCACCATTGACTGCCTTCCTCCCTGGGTCACAGGAGAGGGATTTAATGTAAAGCCTTTTTGAGATAAATGGCTTAGTTATTTTCTCCTTAATTAACTTGATGTCAGCAGACATTTACAAAGTGGTGACTGTATGCTGGGCCTTATGGGCAGGGAGCCAAGTAGAGGGACATGTGCCAGGCTGGTGTCCACGGTGAGAGGGGCTGCAGATGCTGCTCTGTAGATGGCTTACAGGGGCTCTGGGGAGGCCCCTCACTCTGTCTGAGAGATTAGCTATCTCCAGGGACCTGTTAACTTACCATACACAGAATTGAAATCCTTGTTATGGTTAACCAGCTGAGGTTTGGGTTTTTACTGGTTGTTTGGGATTTAGTTGTATTTAGCTTGTTCTTGCCTTTGTTTCTTCTCCCTTTCAGGGTGTGTAATTAAATGTAATTAAACTGGCAAATGGATTTCTCCCTAGAAACCCATTAACATCTGCCTCCTTTGTTTTTTGTTTTTTCTTTTTGTCTCCCAACCTACTTAAAGACCTGGTTGTTTATGATGTTTCTCAAGGTGTGGTCCATGGGTCACCATCTGCATCAGGATCACTGTAGGTACTTGTTAAATAGATAGATCCTGGGGCTTCATGAAACTGAAATTCTAGAATCTCATTTTAAAGATTCTCAGATTTTTTTAACTGTAAGAACTAAAGTTTGACAATTGCCAACTTAATCTGGGCAGATCCCAAAGGTGTAAAAGGGGAGGAGGAGAGAACTGACATTCATTAAGCACCTGCTAAGTGCTGGTATATTGTGTAAATTCTTCATTCATTCCGCATAGCATAGCATAGCATAGCATAGCATAGCATAGCATAGCATAGCATAGCATAGCATCATTACCCTCATTTTAAGCAAGTTAAGACCCAAAGAAGTTAAGCAGCATTACTAAAGTCACACACAGCGAGGGCAGCATCCAAAGTCAGGTCTAACCAGTAGCCAGTGCTCCTTTTGAGTTGATTCTGACTCATGCCAATTCCGTGTGTGTCAGAGTCTCTGTGCCCCTCAGGGTTGTCAGTGGCTGAGTTTCGAAGTAGCTGGTCATGTTGCTTGCACCACACAGGGTCTCCATGTCAGGCCCACCATCAGGACTTTGGTTCTGTTACAGACTCATGCTAAGCTCATGTGTTAGAGTAAATGAATGACAAAGCAAAATACTACAATGAAATGTGCGAGGAGCTAGAGTCAGAAAATCAAAAGGGCCGAACTCGCTCAGCATTTCTTAAGCTCAAG